GCATATGTTGTCGCATGGCGTCGTGGGTCTACCCGTGGCGCTCGAACTGTCGCTGTGACTTCTTGAGCCGGTTCTCGGTGCCCACGACGCATGTCCTCTTTTCCTGCGGCAAGAGTTATCTTGATCTAGGGGGCGGCGCTGGCCTTCTCGATGCTTTCCATGTCCTCTTCAGCGCCGTGGGTCTCGGCCGCGACTCCATCCCGCGCGCGTTCACGGCGCCTGGCCATCTCGTCGCGAGTAGTCACGGCCGCGGCGATGTCCTCTTCGAGCTGCTGTTGAGATCGATTGGCTTCGCTGGTAGCACGCACGCACTTCATCCGCTCGTTCTCGACGCCACCCTCGGCGCCTCGCAGGCGACGTCGCCACCCTGCAACTCAGCTGCAGCATCTTCTCGCGCGGCCACCAGCTCGCTGTTGATATTGTTGAGGTTGTAGAACTTTCCCTTGGTCTCGTTCCTGCTGTTCTGGGCGCCATGGATGGGACGTTGGTTGTCTTCCTTCCGCACTATCAGGAGGGCGCCGATGTCCTGCCCTTCTGTTGACTTCCTGGCCCTCGTACGTCTTCTAAGCGCTGGCATTGTGGCCCTCCTCGCATAACCACCCCAGTGGGATGGTCACGCCTCTTCATCCGCGGCCCCTGCGTCGTAGACGTCGCCACTGGCGTCGTGGATGTCCTTCCTGATGACGCGGAGTTCGTTGACCTTCCCTTCCAACCATGCCAGATATACATCTTCCTGCTCGCGGCGTGACCTGGCGCACTCGCGGCGACCATCCATAATCCCTCGGTGCGATCGGTTGTCCTGGCTCGTTGGGCGAGCGGCATGGCGTTCATGATCACTGCTTTGATGAAGACAGCGTGGGTCTCGGCGTCTGCTGTCCGACGCCCAGCTGCACTGTCTTTCACGGTGGCCGCGGCTGCCTCGCGTTGTTCTGCGAGCTTGATATGATCCCAATCCACTTCGAGGTCGGGGTCTATTGGAGCGTTTCCCAGTCGGGCCTTTTGGCAGCGTAGACATTGCGCACGGGAATGACGCCGTTGATGGCCCTAGCGACGCAGTCGGCGTGGTCCTGTTTTGCCCGCGGTTGTTTCTTCTTGGCAGGGACCTCCTCCTCCTCCTCGTCCTGTTGGGGCCGTTGCTTCCTTTTGCCTTGTATGGTCATTATGCTTGCCTCTGTCTGCGGGATGCCGTTGTCCTGGGCGCGGTCGTCATACGGATTGGGGAAGCAGCCATCGCCTTTGCCGTTCGTGCCTTTGTTGTTCTTCCCCGCACCCCTGCCCCATCACATGTCGGGGCGTTGAACTGTCCCTTGCTCAGTCCACTGGTCGTTCGTCCACCTGTCCAATCCCGCGCCAATCGCAAGAGCAATCGGTCGCGTTGGTGCCCCCTCTGCTCGGCGCGCGTCTCGATATTGATCGCCACGGTCCTACCATGGTTGGAGCTTGTGGTGATTGTTACGGTAGTTGATGTGCACTATGATGTGTGTTCGAGTAGCTGTCGTGCTGCTGCGACTCTTAGTAGTGTGCGGGCTGCTGCTCGTTCTGGGCGTTCACGTCGGTGCCACGCTGGCTCCGCGGTGAAAATCGTGGTGGTGCTGCGTGCCGGTGTAGGAGTAGTGGTGGCCCTGACACCTGGGAATGACAGAGAGGAAGGAAAGCAATACGTGAAATGACAACGGGATGAGCAAGCAGGTGATTGAATACGGGTACGCGGACGCCCTTTTGCGGGCGGGGTGCTGCGCTGGCTGCCGCCCGAATCCTCGAGCCGAAATGGCGACGGTTCCTGCTCCATCACCCTTCCTTATGAATAACTCCTCCCTGTCGCACCCCGAGGCGGGTCGAAAGGGCGGGCTGGACGTTTCGCCTAAGACCTCGTTACCATGTATGATTCTGAAACTTCAAATGTGCAACAGCTTCACGGATGGAGGGCGGTCCGCTTTCAAAATGTGGCTCTCGCTTTCGCGCCGCGCACATTCGCTTTCAACAATTGCAAGAGATTAACAGATGGAGGCGGCCCAATTCCAAAATGGGGTTCTCGCCTGGACGCCACGCACATTCGTGTGAAGAATGCAAGAGATTCACGGACGGAGGGAGGCCCACTCTCAACAAGCTGCTCTCGCCTCATCGCCGCGCACACTGTTAATTTTTGTGCCTGAGCTTCATTGATGGAGGGCGGCCGGGTGAAATGTGGCTCTCACCTTCCTGCCGCGCGTTCTGGTCTTGAACAATTGCCACAGCTTCACCGGTAGAGGGCCGCTCCTTTTCAAAATGCTGCTCTCTCCTTAACGCCGCGCACACTCGTCTTAAACACTTGTAGCACTGTTCCAAGATTTGCATGGCGAATGTCCGAGAAGGGGCTTTGTAGTACGGTGTCGGGATGTCAGGACACAACAGCCACGTCGATTCGCGGTTTTGAAGTCCCAAGAACGGCGTTCAGGATCGTCAACACGCAACCGCAACGGTGAAATCCCAAAAATGGTGTTCTGGAACAGTTCAGTATTGTCAAAGGACAGGACAGGACAAGACAGGACAGGACGCCGACGATCGTCCCGGAGGACGGCCCTATAAAGAGCACGGCGGTGGCGCCGGAGCGCCGGAAGCACGTTGGCTCCCTGATGCCCGAAAGAAACGAATGCACTCTGCAACGAAGGTTTCGGTTTTGCGTTCACGCTCCTCTGGAGGCGAACTGGGAAGCTGACGAGCAGAGAAGCAAAGAGGAGGAAGGGGGAGGAAAACCAAATAAACGAATTGGGTGAAAGATTGCAGCCAAACGCTCCGAGAATCAACCGGTGCTCATCGACATGGCTGTACCTTTGTTCTTAAAGAGGCTGGCCAAACACCAATATGGAATACAATTCAAATTACAACGTCTGCCCTATGATGCGGAAAGCGATCCCTGGCGAATGCTTTGACAGACGACCGTAAACGCAACTGCGGACCGAAGTGGCATTGGCCGCCCACTTTTCCAACACAATTCCCTGGCGAGTATTTTCACGAATTTCCCATGTAGAAGATGTTGATGTGTAAATCTGCCCGCGGAACCCAACCAGACAAATCTCTTGTTGCAGGAGCGGCTCCACCAACGTTCCTTCGAGAAGAAAACCTTTGCAACCAAGTATGATCAATGATCCTGTCTGGCCGACGTGCTTTGTTTTGCTGACGACATGTCGAATGCTGTCCAGCAGCTCGTCACAACGATGTTGAAGGATTAGCCTACATTGATGCAAAGATTCGCCCTCCCACTCAAGAGTCTCGCTGTTATCGCCGAATAACAAATTCATACGTTCTAACTTCATCTGAGTTGTTTGCGCCATCCCTGCCAAATATTCAAACATGTTATCCGAGGAATTGGGGGCATCTTTGTTCGCCTCTGCGTTATCGTCGAATTCTGCCGTATACTCGGGAGCACCAACAAAATCTGTTTGAATTGGTTATTGCAGTAAACGATCGCACACGTTTTCAATGTTCAGGAAATCGACTAGTATGTATATTTGTTCAAGTCGTCCGACTCGCTCTGACAAATCTCCGTGCCTCACCGCCCCATGATATGTTGATCCGTTTCCCTCGACATACTCCACCCTGCGTTTTACATCCGCAACTTCTGCGAAGATGTAATTGACCTTGCCTTGCAATTCTTGAGAAACATTTTGAAGTACCGGCTCCTGCTTTGACTTTGGCCGATGGGGCATTCTTTGACGACCCAACGGGGCGCTTCCCACAGTGAAAATGGTTTTGTAGAGGCTAATGAGCAGGGAACTTGGAGGGAGGGTTGATTACAATACCGTTGATGCGTCTTGGGTTTACACTGGTCCTCATCCTCCTCCTCCGCCTCCTCTTGCTCCTTCGCCTCCTCCTCCCTCTCTCCAATTCCTTCTCCACCCCTCTCTCTTTTCCGAAGCCTACGTCGCATGCTGGACGTCTGGCTGCCTATTGCACTTGTGGGTTCCCTCGCACACTCGACCGCTCCGGGGCAACCGAGACGGTTCCTCCTCTCTCGCTCCTCCTATTCCTGCGCCTCTGTCTGGTTGTTCCAAATCGTGCTCCCGCTGCAGCGGGGGCCTTTTCGGCCCTTCCAAATAAGCCCCAGAATCTAGAAAATGGCCCCCCGAAAAACCATCGGAAGTGATGTCACATTCGGTGTCAATTCGTTGATTTTTGAGCCGCAGAAGGCCTCCCCCCACTTTTGGGTGTCGTCGCTTTCAAGAAGTATTAAGCGGGAGCCCCGTTTCTGCTTCGAGAAGGCGATGTTGAAAGCAGAGCCAGCGGATGCTCTCCATCTGCCCTGCCTTTTGTGGAGCTTTTCGGGGGGCCCTAAAGGGCTAGACATGGAGCCACGACTCCAAACCGGCCCAGATCTCTCGATGACGATCCACATACCCGTCCAAGGAACCCGCCGGCATGCCACGATATGCTGTGCGGTGTTGTGTTCTGCGCCGCTGTGCGATGCCATGCTTTGCGTTGCAATGCTTCACTGCGCAATGCCACTCCATGCTATGGCATGCTACGCTCTGCTGTGCTTGTATACGCCATGCCATGCCGTGCTCTACCATGCATCGCGTACCCTGTCGCGATCATTGCCCTGCTCGACACCCGGATGTGCGAATAGAGAAGATATCTACGCCATGGTAAGGGATGGGAGGGAGGGGTAGGACGTCAGAGATGACGCGAGCGCACCTAGCTTCCACCTCCCCCTCCGTCGCTCTCCCCCCTCCCCCCCGTATCCCTCCCCCTCCCTCCTCATCCTTCCTCCTTCCTGTTCTACCTCATCCTACTCTTCCCCTGTCTCCCCCTGCCCCTTTCCCTCGCTCCCTCCCACCCCCCTTCCTTCACGCACACACACACACACACACACTAACACACCGACAATGACGACTTTCCTGATCCCTCCTCCTCCCTCCCTCCCTCCCCCACATCCCTCCTCCCCCCTCCTCCCTCCCTCCTCGTGCCTCCCTCCCCTGAGGCGCCCCGCGTCGCCCCGCGTCGCGCCGCCCCCCGTCCGCCGCCTCGGCCCGCAAGGCGGCGTGGGCTCTGCCCAGCGCGTCCCGCTC